TACATATCTAAATATGGGATATCATCGCCAATATTTCTAGTACTTTCTAAAAAAATATTGTCAATGATATCCCATAACTTCTTATATATTTTATATATATTTCGAATATGAGCAAAAAAGAACATAATTTCTGCATATTGCTGTAGCAAATTATTTACCAACAAATTTTTATTTACCAACACTGTATGTAATACCATGAATATGTTATTTTGAGTAGGTGAAAATAACTAGTTTGTGCAAGTAAGAAAAATACATGTAGGTTTTCAACACACTGTTAAGAGCTCTCGAGCGCCGATTGGATCATTAGAGTGTCTATAACAGGACATACACACTGTGGTGAAATAAAACGCCTATCCCGCGCTTTCTATTTACTTGAAATAAGGAAATAGTGCCGTTGCTCTCGTAGGTCCATAACGTCAAGAGTGTGCCAATAATAGAGCGGATTTCGTATGAGTGGGAAACGGACGGTACTGTACTGTACTGTGACCGTAATCGTACTGTAACCAAATTCTAGTGCCCCATTGATTCACCAAAATTGTGCAGACCAGGTCCGGTAACTGTGCGGTAACCGTGCGGTAACGGTGTCCCACTCATACGAAATCCACTCTATGACATAATACTCAAAACTCTTATATTATTGTTGCCTCAGTAAAATATTTTTAAAATAGTTTACTTACCTCCATAAGGATATGCCAACATGCCAAGACTAATACAACAACCGAGCCAACTTCCACGAAAAACTTCTGCCCCGTATTCCCAGTTTTAGTACCATTACAGATCCATTTGTTATTCACTTTTTCAGGTCGTAGTTGAGTGCTGACAACAGAGTAGCCGGTTAGAAAGAACAGGAATATAAAAAAGATCAAAAGTTTTAAGTAGTACACGAGACGACCAAACTTCTGCCATTTCTTGGCAAGAAGGAATGTCACCAAAGGATGTCCAAGAAGGCCTTCACGTTTTCGTCTCACCTAAGAAAAACATCAGATAATTAAATACATGAGAGATTCATTTAAAATATCCTTAAGAAATGGTTCATAGGAGCGGCTATTCATCAAGTTATGAGACACGCTGGGGGTATGTTGCTGAGAACGAAAAAAATGTTCTGTGCACATCCGAGAGCTCCGACATTCTTCTTACAATCATGGTATTCACTGTTTCTTTGAATATATTTTTTATATTGCGCAAGCATATGAATCAAAGACGTTTGAAGCAATCTTCGGTTGCGATCATACCATAATCATCAACGGATGGTTGTTCTTCTTTTCCAAGAGTTTAGTTGCCTCCTCTTGAGACTTTGAGTCCTCGATTCCAGCATAACCAAATTCAGACTTATCAAGATGGAAGCTGTGTACACTTCCTGAATCTGAAGAAGCACTTCCTCCAGCCATTTGCGAGAACCATTCAGCGTATACGTCCTCGAGAAACTCGTAATTCATTCGAATTGCATAGTCACGGTGGTACACAGGAAGTCCATTGTCGGTCACACATTGGTTCATGACCACTTCAGCAACATCTAGAAGAAAAGTTTGAATTTTGTTAGAAATATCTTCGTTTCAGACGTACGGCAAGCGTCGAAAGAGAAGGAATTATATAGTAATAATGGTGAGATTTGATGATGATGATGATGGTGATGATGACCACTTATYGTACAAATTCTACAAACTGTAAGACAGGAAAGGAAAGTTGCAAGAAAAAAAGAGACAAATAAAGCATGCTAGCTAATGTACAAAAAAGGAAACGAAGGCTATATAAGAGACAAAACCAAGGAAACAAAKCATACAAASAATTAAAGCACCACCAAAACCAACCTAAACTACAACAACTTCGAAGCTACTTTAGGGCAAACCTGGTAATTTTAGAATTAGTTTTCTCATTGGCGTGGTCACATATTCTTGCTCAAGTGTTTTGTTTTTCATGGCATCCATCCAGTTCTTATCCTTGACAATGGCGATAGCAACCTCTCTGCAAAGTAATAGTTATCATTTTATGTACTTGTTAAATCATTTACATGATCGTACAACAGAATCCGCGTACATTTGGCAAATTATCGAAAAAAAAATTACTTGGTATGCCTTATTATTAATCAAAACTTACTCTACAAAATAATAGGAAAACCACATAATTATTTGTCATGTTTTTTTTTCAAACATCAATAAGTGTAAGCACTGAAGAAAGTGAAACAGCGGAGAAAATATAATTACTTGTTCTAAAAAAAGACCGAAAAAGGAAATTCTATCGGCTTGAATAATTCAAAGACTATAGGCGACAACGTTTCCATACTTATTGGCTTTATCAATGGCCATGTCCAGGCAGTTTCGACCCGTATGGTCTGTTAAGGTAATATCAGCATTTCTGGACAGCAGTAACTGGACCATATCCACGTGACCTTCTCTTGCTGCCAAGTGTAGAGGGGTCGTCTAAAAGGGAAAACATTGTTCTRAGGGYACTTTCCATTTGTCAAAAAAATATTTGTTCAGCCCCAAAACTAATCGTTCCTGGAGAGCCAGAATACTAAAATCTAAATTTCATCCATCAGTTTACTAGAAAACATGGGCAATTACTGAAAACAATCTCAACAGTTCTAAAGGCATAAACTATTCAATAGACCAGCAGTCACTTCTCTTAAGGGTCTCAGAACAACAACAAAATGAGAAAAAAACTCTTTCTTTGATGCCAAGTTTGCATATCGTTTTCCAATACCAACCCTGGTTTTGTCAGTAGGATCAACTGGCGAATCGTAATCTAATAAAATAGCTGCTGTCTTAACATGGCCGTTGGCTGCAGCACAGTCAAGGGGTGTCCATAGATTTACATTCCTGAAAAAGAAGAAAGTGATAATTAGGGGTTCTCTCAACCCAAATGAGAATTGTTTTATCATCGAACATTTTTGTGAGACAAACAACTCGACGTTGGTTCTTCAAGAATCAAACTAATTTGTGTAGCCCTATTTTCTATGTACTTTCACAAAAGATATATTTATATATTTATAAAATTGGAAGTACATATTTTTGACAGAGGTTTGAAGGTATTCTATATCGTGTTTAAAAAATAGAGCTGCAATGAAAATCCATAAATTACAAATTCTTTCCTAAGGCCTTTGTAGCCTCTGGCAGGTTCTCGATTGTTCCCTTTTCTAGTCATTATAAGTTCGAGAGAACACAGTACTAAATCTTAACATAACAACCGTCTGAGCATTTTATTATTGTTTTATTTTCGTAATAATGAGTCCAGGACGTACCTTGCGTCGACTGGCGAACCGTTTTCCAATAGTTCTCGAACACACTTCCAATGACCTTCAATGGACGCCAAGTGTAGAGGGATGTTAGAAGCTTCATCTTCATCGTTGATAATAGAGCTGTCTCTTTTTAAAAGAGCTTGAACGGTCCTGGAGAAACAGTTGAATTTTGTATAACATGAGTATATGGGAAGAAGAAAATCTGAAGCGAAAARCAAATTGTAACCCTCTAGTGCTCTTTCGCTCCCATTTTGACAGCAACCGGCGACTATAGCCCGGCATTGAAAGAACAAAGTTCTTTACTGTGACGTCATTTTGAGAATGGACAATTCAGCGCTTCGGGCTACGATTTATTCCACATTTAGCAACCAGGTTTAGCTTCATTAGACTGCTGCCTACTATAAAACAGTGACTACGGTTCGTAAAATTACATCATGAATGACTATTCTATGTCAATGATTGGAATATGACACTCAGTACCTTGTCCGACCAAACTTGGCAGCAAGATGTAGTGCTGTATAATCCTCGTCATTTCGTGCATCAATCTTTGCTCCATTGTTCAGTAACAACTGCAAAAAGAACATGAATGTTAAGCWTTGGAACAAGCCAAARGTAAGACAAAACCTATTGCCCATCGGCACAAATCAACATTGTACATACCCTGTAAAAGTAMGTTTACATATCTTGATCTTTTTGATTTTTCAAAGAATGAAAATGAAAACGTTCTCTAATCAAATACAGATCGTCAATCAACTGTATAAAGCACGGGTACCGAGTAAATTAACAAGAAAAACATGCAAGCATAATGCGGGCAAACAAATCTCGATCTCTAGTCCCAACCCRTGTCACTCTAAAAAAAGACGGATCAGGATATTGGGAATGTGAATACACTGAGCAAAGAGTACAATGCATCATGGCYTGAAAAACATCGATTCAGACATTTATTTATTACCTCTGCCACTACAACGAATCCTTTCATTGCTGCAACATGAAGGGCTGTCGATTCGTAAAGATCRCCTTTATTAATAAGAGATTTCGATACATGATGGTTCAACAGTTCCTGAAAAAGAAAGACAGTGTTATTCTTCTTTTTTTTCACAGCCACGTGAAACAAATTAATGAAAAGATAGTCATTTCCTGATAGCCAAGACTTATAAATAAAGTTATCCGACATTGCAAGAGTGTCCCTTTATAAGCATTAATTTTCAATCGCTTTTGYTTAACAAAGAAGGGAGATTGTAAGGCACAGATGATCGAGAGAGTTGGAGAAATCAGCTACATTCTAACGCTTTATGAAGTGCGAAAAGCGAACGTAAGAGTCAAGAAATTCAATATGGAAAGCAATTARGTTTAGAATTGTCATTTTGTCGGTATMTACAATCATAGACAAAATACATGGAACAATAAGTCTACTGAAACATACAACATACAATTTCCCCCAGRGAACCCCCATTTACAAAGTTGCATTCCAAAAATTGGCTGTGGGGGTGCAGGGGTGGGGTCAAGGGAAGCGTCGGGGGAGGATTAAAACAACCAATAACGGATTTAGAATCCTCTTGAGTGTAGCAATAGCGTTCTGTCACGTTCAATTTTGTCTTGGAGTGTAGCTAACGCGGGGTTTAATCGCAGCAATACATTGCTTTCGTAGATTGCACAATGTATTGTTTCAGTATTCAACGTTTCAGTAATTTGTTAGAATCCTCGCAGGCGTTTTCTGGTKTCGTCTCCTAATCCTCCCAACTATTCAGACAATTGTCTACACCATTATTACAAAAAAATGTACTTATAAAGTGATGTTACAGATTCATAACTGTTTAATTACATACCTTCAGGGTATCAACACAGTTTTGTTCAGCAGCCATGAAAATAGCGTTCTTTTTGTGGATGTCCTCGCACTCCATGTTAACTCCATGCGAAAGAAGGGCGGCAACAACCTCCGTGTGGCCTTCATTGGCTGCAGACAGAAGTGGAGTGAAGTTGTCTTTGTCACGGCTTTCTACATCGGCGCCCCTTAAAAAAAAATCAATATAATGAAATCAATATTCATTTGTAACGATATGCTCAGATTTTATTGGATAATCGATACCAAATCTATAACCTATATGCGTATGGGGGTCGGTTTTATGAAGGGTGGATAGCGCTATCCACCGGATAGATCCTTATCCAGCGGACATAAAATCTAAATAAAATCAAAGGAGTGGATGTCTTTAACCGGTTGATAAMTTTAACCACTCTTCGTACAACTAGCCCCTGGTATAGAGGCAAGAAAGAAAAGGAATTTTTTCCAAGAATGTTGCTTTGACTTACTGCTCAATTAGATAGTTGACAAAATCCACCCTGTTGAAGCAAGCAGCACGATGCAAAGGCGTCTCGTGATTCATGTTCCTTGCTTCTATATTAGCCCCATGGTCAATCAATAGCTTGGCTATACGGATCTGGCCACTGATGGCCGCCAAATGAAGAGGTTGGGTATTGTTATTTCGAACATCACGCACATTGGCACCCTTCTCGATGAGAAACTCGACCAAGTCGAGATAACCTCCGTCAGTGGCACAGTGTAGCGCAGATTCCTGTTGATAATTCCGTATAGATTAAAGTGTTGTTCTTAGCAACTGTTCACRCTTGGTGCTCGAGACCTTGTATCCCGGCAATGAGCCAGGTAGAGAGTTCCTGTGCGCATTCGTCTAGAACACGACGCCTTTTAGTTGCTGTACCTAAGCAAGTGTTCATGGAAAACAAGYGTGAACGGYATATTACTAAACTCAACTTAAAATGTCAACAGCTACTGTCCGAAACAGAAACTTTCAGCCTTGCCGAACAGCGTCAATACTGAATGCAACAGCACAGATAGAGAAGACTAGCGTCAGAATAACAATTAAAAAAGAATTATAGAGGAAGGGCAAGAAAAGAAAGTCAGATGTGCTGTGCTTAAAGAATATATTTTAAGTTTCTGATCTTACAAAAAAATAGRGAAAAGGCAAAGGCAGCAATTAAGAAAAAATGAAAGCCAAGAAACGACAAAATGTGAAACCTTTTCTGAGTTCCTGTCAGACAGCAATGAGTCCACGAGGTCTTGTCCTCCATYTTTATCCGCTATTTTAATCAGATGCTTAGCTACATACAGATGCCCTTCGGTGCAAGCGAAGTGTAATGGTGTCATTCCCTCAAAGTCTTTCGTCCTGATATCAGCTCCTCGTTTTATCAGGGCCTGCACAACAAGCAAAGCTCCATCGTTGCATGCTGCATGAAGWGGTGTGCTGCCACTTGTGTCAGGCATCTGCGGAATAAGAAATGCTAATTACATTTTACAATTTATTAGTAAACAACCGGAGTCCATTTTTCAGTGGATCTACAATCTAATAAATGTACAGATCTAGATGACGTCAAAATGTGTTACAAAGAAAAAATGTAGGCGAATTGCGGTGAATATTGTTGCCATTGCATTTTGACTTCATAACGGTACAGACAGAGTACATGCGCCCGAAAAAATGGGATCTATTAGTTTTGTTTGCATAAGAATTTCCTTCAAATTTCTCCAAGTGCACCGGCGATGTCATTTCAATTCATAGAAACTGTTGGTGATTGAAAGGATAGAAGAATGCGGGTACGGGTTGTGACTGATGACAATGTGATAATCATAGCGATGAGACATTTATGATTTCATTTCCCATCCCATTTAAGTCATTTAGTTTTATCATTCACATTATATAGACACTAGTCATTGACACTTACATCAATCTTTATCTCATCACTCTGAAGTAGTTCTTTTACTGCAGCAATATTACCCTTCATAGCAGCATAGTGCAGGGGTGTCATACCATAACTATCTTGAGCATTTATATTAGCTTTGACCTCCAAAAGGTAGTCAATGATAGATTCCTCATCCCCTGCGATGCTGATGTTGTCTACATCTGATACATATGGCCGCAAAACATCCTCTAAACTTAAGGTAAACTTTTTTGGTGCCTCATCACCAGTTACATCATCTGTTGATTGTTGCCTCACTTTCAAACTGGCTGTGAAAAATCTTGCTGCATAGTGCAATGGTGTGGCACCATCTGGACCAACCATGTCCACCACTAACAACAGAAAATATAAAGTAATAATCAGTGGAAAAAAAATTATGATTCTTGCCAGAATAGACTATAAATTAATAATAGAATAGAAAAGTTTATCATATAGATGAATTCTTCTAACGCACGCTCTGGTTTGCCAAAAAAAGTGTGGTTTATGAGAGTATAAACCACGATTGTGGTCAAAAAAGATTTTGCTCAAAATCTATATAATAAAACAAGTAAATAAGGCTCAAGCTGTGTTTTATACTCTGATAAACGCACACTTGGCATTTGAAACAAATGAGAAAATGTGTGAAAAAGTTTCTTGTGTGCTTCAAATGCCATCGTGTGTTTATCAGAGTATAAACCACAGCTGAGCCTTATTTATTTATTAAATAATAAAAAGACATTTCATGAATTCAATGTTATAACCAATTTACAAACACTTCAAAGATCAATTAATTTTCCAAGCTGAAGAAATATCCTTTGAAAATTYGAAAGGTAAAGCATTTGAAGGAGAACAAAAAGTTTTTCAACCTTAACATAGTAACATTTTTGATTAATTTATTTCAAAGAAGCTAAATATCTCAAATATCAAGCTTTCAATGGCTGTTTCATCTCAAACCATTGGCAAAAAAACTGGCATGATCTTTTTAGCAGTGAAAATAAATTGCTTTTCAACATGTCAGCCATTATAAATTTGTCCTAGTCCCTTCCATCCTTGAAAATAAGTTATCCCTCAAAAAGCACAGGTAGCCCGCACAGGAGTTATAATAGCCGACTTGCGAATTACGCATCAATAGTCACATACAAAGGAATCAAGACGAGGCGCCGTGCTAAAGATAATAGATTTTTCACAAAAAAGCACGGCGCCTCGTCTTGATTCCTTTGTATGTGACTATTGATGCGTAATTCGCAAGTCGGCTATTAAATAAGGAATTATAATTTCATGACCAATGACCACTCAGCATTCATGCATTGTCTTATATCCTTCTTATCCTACTTGGTTGAGAACATTTATACTTACAGCAGAAACCGTTGCATCGCGACTTCGATGTTCAAAAAAAAATACTTGGGATTTAGGTTTTTCTGCGACTTGGGGGCGGAGCTTGATACTAATCAGCCAATGATTTAACGAGTTTTCGAAAAGCTCCGCCCCTCAGATTGAAAGAGAGAACAAAATCCAGACAAACTTCAAAACAAAGAGGTCRCGATGCAATGATTTCTGATGTAAAGTTACTTTTTTAATGTCTCTTGAAATTGCTCTAGGTTGATAAAAAGTGTTCTTATAAACACTAATTATAGGGAAGGCCACATGGACTATATCGAAAAATTTTGTGGGTCTGGATACAAAAATGGACCACTTGGCCACCATTTCAATATTATTTACTAGATACTTATATAAATAAGCAATTAAACAACATATTGGCACTTACCAGCTCCATTGTCAATCAAGAGTTTGACTACATTCAAGTGACCATATCGTACAGCGTAATGAACTGGAGACACATTATCATCATCTAGCTTATTGAGTATCTTGAACCGACGGGCACTGTTCAAACGCCCAAGTTTAAACAATCGATAATTGATAACATCAGCCCTTCCATCTCGAGCAGCCTTAAAATGAATTTAAAAACTAGTAAAAACTATACTTAAAATTATACACKTCTTATGTCACTGGATAAGATGTCAATCAATCAAATTTGCTGTCTTTACGTCTTTTTTTTCTGTCTGTATGTCAGGATATAACTTCCTGCATTAAATCATAAAAAAATTATGAATTGATTAAAATACAAGACACATGCTCAACATGTACATCTTTCATTTTTCCAGTTAAAACTAAGTTTATATAATGAATAGCTCAATTAATTTACTTTACTTCAGTCAAATATCTGAACGATGACGTTTTGTGATAAATGTATTCAGTGTATTTGAACAATTGTYAGGACTTTTGTCAAGCGTAAAAATTTGCGTCAATGATATCAATCATCCATTCAATACCATTGAATGATCAAAAACAGGAATGCAGTGTAAAACAGATGGATCGTAATTTTAAGCGAGTTTCAATTACCTTTCTTTATTGTTTTTTTTTCCTTTAGTATAAATATAGGACGTTGGCATAGCGATGATTCAAATCAATACGATGAMATCAAACAGTTTTACTAGAAAATATTGTGCAGAATTGATCGTGCTTCTGYGGAGATTCGTCGTAAATAATAAAATGCTATTTATGACATTATACAATTCGCAACTTAAAGAACAATCTCCTMAAAGCGTACGTACATGTACTTTGAGAGAGCATAAGTTTCAATTAAGATGGTTGGCTGTATACAACATAATCTAAATACTAAACAGTTTGACATAAGTAAAGTTACTTATAATATAAACAAACTGTGAATCATATTACGCAGCAGTCTTACTAGTTGATACAGATTCGCCTTAAAGGAAATAATAAGTCGATATTTTTTGACTTGAGAGCATAAGTAGTCTTAACAATCCGCACCCAAACCAGCCCACGTTCACTRGGCGAACGTTAAGCTTAAAAACCRTACCTGATGGAGAGAAATGTGAGCGAAATCGCTYGGTTCGCTAGCTGCCGTTGGCACTGGAGTTGGTTCTTCGATATCTTTRTCAGGCAAAGCTGGTTCAACTTGAGTCATYGTAACGCTACCGCTTTCTCCGTTCGCTTGCTGAAAGTTCAGAAGCTGTATATCCGACATGTTTTATTGTGTAGCACCGAACGTAGCTGTTGGTAATGAATTCATTTACGCCATTCGTCGATAAATTCTAAATACTYAGTATGCTATTTGCATATGTACCACAGGTAACCCGTCAAAAACTTAAAATCATGTGACTATAYGTGTGTCACGCAACACTTTCCATTTTGAGTGAAGCAATCAGTTAGTATAAGTATATAGTATATATTATAATCTTGGTAAATAAAGAAGAAGAAAAAGTACAAAAAATAGAAAGCAAATAGCATATTCAAGTGAGTTGTAATATTTAATTTGTTTAAAACCGGGTGGAATCGCTATTGGACTTTACCTAAACGAGCAGGAGAGTGGGTACTAGTTATCTAAATTAACCTAATTAAAAAATTAATCATATCATTGGAAAGACCACCACAAAATAAACAAGATTCCAAAGTTTGGTTGCTTTTGGTTAAATAATGTGTAAGAAATGGACCTTCTAAAAATTGATGGAAAAGTACCATGAGGTGCATGAGGAATATGGACAGTGTCCATCCAGTACATACATTTTCTTTTAGCGAACAGCCTTCTGAAATATTCGGTCATCTTTTTTGTTCTATGTACGGCATAGATTAGCTGTATTAGGACGGCATATCGCACGAATGTCAACAGTTCTTTGAGAAATGGAAAAAAAAATCCCTATCTAAAGTCCCTTTTACACTTGCGCGATTCGCGCGGCGATCGTCGCGCGACCATCGCCTGCGTTGTAACAATCGCAGTGCTGTTTACGCGTACGATTTTAGTTGCGCGGAGGCAAAGTGGCGATTATCGCGCTGCAACAACCGCAAGTGTAACGGGCCTTAAATTTAGCAAAAAATATCGCCCCCATTTCAGGGGCAAAACAAAGATGTGCATGTCACTATAAGACGTCAATCATTTTATATTCTGTCTGATGAGTGCGTAGCACGAAAGAGGATACCTATTTTCCGAGTCAGGATTCGAGTTAGGATTCGAGTTAGGACTCGACTTTTAGGATTCGAGTTTTAGGATTTGTGGAATGTAGTCTCCGGGATCAAATCTCATTATGAGGCCACTCATTCCCAGTACCCACGCTGTCTTCTTTCTGCTTGTTGCCAAAATGGCGGAAGACACGAGGTTAGTAATGACTTATTCATATCCTTGTGATTTGCAATGCCAATTTTATCCATCCTGCTAAAACTACCATCTTGGTCTTATCTGTTATGACCAATCGCATCATCTGTATTATTATTTAGGATTATTTTGTTTTTAATAATCTAATGGCAACAAATGTAAAAATAGTACTGGAGAGCAAGCCTCTAGAAAAAAAATGTTATATTTGCTATCAATTTTGAAGTGTTTAGTGTTGAGACTTGATACTTTGTCTTCTTAACTATTTTGATCCCCTCTTTCCATTTCTGGACATTATTTTTTGATAGCTGATTGATTTAAGGTAGGTGTGGTCACGTGACCCCCAGCTGCAAAGGGCCTATTACAGTAATTAGTCTGATTCATACAATTACAATGTCATTTCTTTTAAATATATATTTTTTTTCTTTTTATACTTTTTTATAATATACATTTATTATTGAAAGTGTTCTTCTTTCCGAAAGAAATGCACGTCTGGTATGTATTTATGCTCTTCTATGAGAGACCAGATGATATCTGTTGATGTTTTAATTAGAAACAAGCATTGCTGGTTCCGGCAGTCTTACATTTTGATAGTTTTTATGATAGTTTAATTATGATTTTTATGATAGTTATTTTGATTTCAAAATTATTAAACTTTGTGTGCTTTTAATGAATAAAAAAATTAAATACTTGTTAAATTATTATTACTTATTGAATTATTACTTATTAAATCGAATCCCAAAACTAGAATCCAAAAACTCGAATCCTAACTCTGCTGGTAGTTTGTCTCGGCACGAAACACGGAGTAACAGCAAACCTTGCCTCTTTGTATATATATAAGATGTCAATCAATTAAGTTATTTGTTTAATTTAGAGACGTCAATAGTAATATTTACATTTTGATTAAAACTAACTAACTATTTTAGTTATAGCGTGTTCAGTAAATATGAMATTTATTTATCTTCACTCTGGCTTGATCAGATATGTTTTTATCGATTCAATGATCGAGCAATCTAGAATTAAGCTTTGGAGAATGAGCACTGGCCTGATAATGGACAGTTTATCAAACAATCAAGATTGACGGGATTTCAGTATAGTTTCATTTTCACTGAAAAAATCAGTTTTTMGTTTCTTTTCACTGTACGAAGATATATCCAAATGCTGGCGTTAGCTTTTTATGATTACTGCACGACCCATATTGACAATAGTTTCCACAAGAAAGRCCCACAGACCGGCCAAGACCCACCCCAATAGCGCTGTCACACGAACCGCAATAATTCTCTTGGTTTGATCTGATACCAATGCGTGCAAAGCCAAATACATTAAACCCTTCTTGGTTACAGTAAGCCTGCAACGAGGCTCCAYCAACCAGAGACATCCACTGCGATTTGCTGATGTTTGTAGAATGGTATTTTCTATCAGCGATGACATCATAAAGTGATAAACCCTTATATGGTATCACAACCCATTTAAGGTTATTTTTAACCTTGAAGGCAATGCAAATCTTGTTGAAAGGTACCGCCCAATAACTAGGCAATTTAGTTTGGTAGTTGTCAAAAGCTGTCTGRCCGGCTGTCAAATTGTAGTGTGTCTTGTTTGACCACAGATCAGATTCATAGATAAACTCACTCTATAGCAACAAAAGTAATAGATAATTATATTATAGAAAACTAGGTAGATGAAGAAACTGCATACATCCTTCAGTGGTGACAGATGTCTATCGCGCATACACGAAAGATCCTTCAGAAAGCAGAACGCACCGACTGTATTACATGTACAGTCTTATTACAAGCCTTTTAGAGAAGTGGAAGTCGGCAGTCTGCATCTACATCGATTTTACCACAGGTATCCCAACCTACAATCTACTTACTTTTGAGCCGTCGATCTTCATGGCCAGGGTCCATCCACCACCAAAACACA